ACGTGAAGATCAGATGAAGGAGTCGTATCCGACTCTGTTTTTTGCAGGTAATTTTCGAGGACGAAAATTCTTTTAAGTGGGGGGGGGGGGGGGTTGTAACACCCCAAATTTAATCAGAATATGTTAATTAATTATTTAATTGAGAATATTCATGTTTCGGTGAATTTCCGGTGGTTTTGTGAATATTGAAAAGATGTGCATTTTCGGATATTTATTTGATTAATAGCATATAATATTAATTTATTAGTATTATTATTAATTAAATGGAATATAAGTGAAATAAGGGCAATTTGGGCATTTGAGGAAGTTAGTAAGGGTAATGAGGGAAAAGCCCAATTTGTGAGGCCTAAGACTAAGTTGGCAAAATTGAGTTCTGAAGGGAATTTGAATTCATTTGTGTTAACCGTGAAAGTTTGGTGGTCAGAGCTCCGAAGGAAAGGTTGGAGGCAGAAGATCCCAAAGTTAATCGTGAAAGCTGCGAATCGACTAAGGTATGGGGAGTATCGTTGTTCATGATTTTCTATGTATGCCTTTAGATGCGTTTATGGTTGGTTTATGGTTTAAGGTATTTTGGGTTGGTTGTGGGAAAATAGGGAATTTGATGATAAGGCTTTGAGGTTAGGGGTAACGGTATGTAACACTGAATATTGATATGAGAATGGAAACCTTAGCCTTCGTGGCCAAAAACCTTGGATTGTTACATGTTTGACCCTGTAGGAATAAGGAAGTTCAAATGTGAGTAGCTCTGATGCACTCAGAGAAATTGCAGGAAAATAGTGATATAGGCAGTGCAAATGTTGCCAGATTGGCCTAATAAACCATAGATTTTGTGTCGTTATCGCCGTATGACCGTAGGGATGATTTAGGGATGTTTTGGGGACATTGGGTAAGTGAATCGAATGAATATTTGGACAAGAATCAGTTCTGGTCGTAACAGGTTTTTGCTGTCATCGCTCTGTTCACCTAGCGAGCAAGCCAGCGAAGGTTCACTACAGACTCGCCTAGCGAGCAAGCCAGCGAAGGTTCGCTACCAACTCGCCTAGCGAGCAAGCCAGCGAACGTAGCAGAGTTTGCAAAATTGATCGTTTTGCAGCGATGCCTTGATGTGTAATTCTGGGATTTCTGGGATGGATTACCCCGAGTATGACAGTGGGTTTTGGGTGATGTGTACATGATGTTATGATAGTTTCTCTGATGTATCGATTGAGTTAATATGATGAAATTACCATGATTTAATGAACTATGTGATAACATGAGATATGATGATTTTATGTGATGATGATGAGTATGATGAATGATGATGCACCATATGCTGTATTATGAGGATTATTATTGTGACGTGTGCATCATGCATTCATGTGCATCCGGACTTCGGTTCAGGACCTCGATTGCTTTGCCTTCAATCCCACTGTGTGGATGTGAAGTATGTTGATATGCTCCGATCCTATTGATGGGGATCTAGGGAGGGTTGATGGCCCAGTGTCCATCGCGCTGTGATGATTGGTACCACATGCATTTAGTCTATGTTGCATTTGCATTTATGAGCCTTTGTGTATAAATTATGACGTTGTGGCCTTTGAGGCATATTAGAGGATATGAATGTGTTGAATATGATTATGATGTCGTTTATGCATTAATTGTTATACATTGATTATTATGAATTGTTTTACTCACCCTGCATGTTTAAATGTTACCTCTACGTGGGTAACGTGCAGATGATCCAGTTTAGCCGTGGACGCCGGCGAGGAGTTAGTTTTGAAGTTCTTGAGTGTTTTAGTCTTTTGTTCAGCTTAGAGGGTCTTGCTCTGATATGTAACATCGGGTTGGGTTCCTTGAGTTGATTTTATACTGTTGACGTTATTTTGATTAACTTCCCTTTTTGAGGAAAACTTTGAATTATGTTTTGAATTCCGCTATTTATGAAGTTTTGATGTACTTTGGGAAAACCCGTAGTTACGGATTATGGACCTATTTTGATGACTTTGAGAAATGTACGCCCTTTTAGTGGCTTTTTAATGAGATTTATTTATTCACTCTGATTTCTGTGTTATTTTGCCTTGATACTTTTGGGGTAGAAAAAGGGTGTTACAAGCGTGACACTATTTGAACAATTAAAGGATCACTTTGGAACTTTTTAAAATTAAGGAACCAAAATGGACCCCGATGTAAAATTAAAGGACCAAAAAGTGTATTTTTCCAAATATTAACTGCCTTACTGATCTAGTAGGGTTATACCCAACCAGTTTCTGATTATTCTGTGTTCACCCTTAAAACTATATTAGTTTTACAACCATCCTAGTATATGTTGATGACATTGTACTAGCTTGAAATTATTTGCAAGAGTTTGATTGAATCAAAGCTTCACTTCATAAAAATTTTAGCATCAAAGACTTAGGACTACTAAAATATTTCCTTGGTTAAGAGGTAGCTCACTCAAAGGAAGGAATTTCTTTGTCTCAAAAAAAATATTGTCTAAATTTGTTGTAGGAATCTGGTATCCATAGATCTAAACCAGTTGCCACACCCTTTGACTTTTCCATTAAACTACATGCTAATAATGGTAAATCTTTTGAAGATATTAGAGCTTATGGAAGATTAATTGGCCACTTACTCTACCTCAATACCACCAAGCCAGACATCACATATGTCACACAGCAGGTCAGTCAGTTCATACATAACCCTACCATGGTTAACTATCATACTGCTTGTAGAGTAATTTGTTAATTAAAGAGCAGCCCTAGCAGAGGTCTTCTATTTTTCAGAAAATCAGAATTACAAATTCTTGGATTCTATGATGTTGATTGTGTAGGGTGCCCTGATTCAAGAAAATCGATTTCAGGTTATTGCTTCTTTTTAAGATTCCTTTTTAATATCATGGCGTGCAAAGAAACAACAAACAATTTCCAGGCCATCATCTGAGGTTGAATATAGAGCACTATCATTTGCTACATGTGAGCTATTTTGGTTGACTTTTCTGATGAAAGAATTGCAGATTACATGTTCTACAGTTCCAGTTCTATACTATGATACTCAGAGCGCAATGCATATTGCCTCTAATCCTGTTTCTCACAAGCATACTAAACATCTCGAGATCAACTTCCATTTGGCGTGAGAAAAACTTCAACAAGGATTACTTCGTCTCTTTCCCATTTCCACTCATGAATAGCTTGTAGATTTTTTGACCAAAACTCTATCAATATCCACTTTTAACAAGTGTATTTCTAAGCTTGACATGATCAACATTCACCATGCTTAATTTGAGAGGAGGTGTTAAGATTAGCTAGTTTAAACACTTATTTAATTTAAACTCATTAAGGTAATTAGTTATTAAGCTAGTTAATTAGTTATTGGTTGGTTAGTTTTTTATAACAAACTTTTTCTCCAATTTCTTTTTGAATTTTCAGCATATATTTTCAGTTGCCTCCCTTTTGTAACACAAGTTTGAATAATGGATTTCTTCTTATCTCTCTTTTTAGTTCATTCAATCTTTATTCTTGTTCATTCAATACGAAAACAATTTCATCTCAATAATTTGTCATTGCAGCTATTATAACAACTCTAATGTTAAATTTATTAAGAGACAGATGAATGAGGTTGTATGTGGTCTAACTAAGATAGATATATATATCTCTAACAACCTTTTAAATTGTGATTGAAATATTAGATTGTATTGAATACATTTTGATGAACAATAATTAAAAGTTTTCTCATTAGAAAAACAATTATTGTATATTGAATAGATTGAATAAATTTACAATTAAATAGATAAGATAAATTCTAAATTAAAAATTGTCATGTCTAATTAGAGTAGATAGTTTAGCTAACTAACTTTGATTTTCCCTTAAATTTACCTTGTAAGATTTTTAATCATGTTCCGTCTTCTTAATTTGAGCTCCCTTAAGGAATATGTACCAACCATGTTTTCTTCCTATGTGTTTTCTAATCTAGTTTCTTGGAGGACCTTTACCCTTACCAAGACTAAAAATCTTTTTTTCTAAAGAGAGACCACTATGCCCACTAGTTTATCTTTAGCACCAACAACTTGTCCCAAAACCATCCCCCAAAGTACAAAAAATCATGTACGTACCATCTAGAAAAACACTATAAAAACTTTTTGATTAGTTTAAAATCCAATATCTTAATTACTATTATTTCAAATTAATTACCTTATAATAATATGCATATCTATCCGTATCTTGGGTTTCTTCATGGTTCAAGAAAGGAATATAGATAGATAGATAACCATGAAAGTCTTATTTAGTGGAGAAAATGGTACTTATCTATGCCACCACATAAGTCTCAATCACATTTTGGTATTAGCATTGATTCCCAAACATAGACTATATTTGTGGGGAATATATACAACTTTGCATCTAACATTGATTATTTGTTACCCTTCCACACATGCAATGTCTATATAAAGAAAAATCATTGGACTGTAATTCATGATTCTCTCTTGAACTTACTCATCCAAATGATTGATTAGAATCATCACTATTCTCATAATATCTTAACCTATATCTCACATTTTTGTCATTTGGCTATGTACCAAAAAAATGAATAGAACTATACCTCAAAAAGCTTGACCCTTTTTGTTATGTAAAATAGTAAGAGCATATAGATATAGACATAGATATAGGAATATAGCAAATCATATATGTAAAGTTGTAAACACAAAATTTGGAAAAATATTGAATACTATTAGGTAGGTTTGTCGGCATGTTTTGTATGAATAGACCCTACATATATAATACAATTATCAATGAAAAAATAATAATATGCTAGTGATAGTTGGTTGGCTCTTTATATTAAAAGATACCCTTAAAAACCTTCGGTGATAAACACAAGCACTAGCAACCTCGCCATTTAAATACCACTATTATCAATCAAGTCTCATAAATAGAGAGGTTTTGAGTTTTGACCCTTTCAATCAATATAATCAATTTCTTCTTCAAAGTTCATCACAAAAAATATCCTTCAAATTAATCTTGATTGGACCCATGAAGAAGAGTTCTAAGGTGGCAGATGAGAACATGTATGAAGGAGGAGAAAGGGGGGTTGAAGTAGCAATATTTGGAGGTGAAAGAGGAAGAAGACAACATGGGTGGAGTGTTATTTTTGCTATTCTTCAAGCTCCAATTTCTATACTATCATGTGTTTCTAATCCTCGAGTTAATGGTTCTGATGGCGTTTGGACTTCTGGTGAATTTGCACAAATTTCTGAGATCAATCATATTATGGTAAATGATAGTATGAGATATGCAATTTTGATGTAGAAAAATGTAAACATTTATTAATGTTGTTCATCTAGAGTACCTTCTCTTATTTTAATTTATTTATATTATATTATATTATATATGTTTATACCTTTTACTCCTCTGGATCATGAATTACATTAGATTATATATGAAGTGCTTATAATATATTATCTTTGTTTTTTTTATAACATACTATTTATTTCTAATTTATAAATTGATTAAATATATTAATTATTAAATAAATTTTAAAAAATAAATTATTTCTTATATAAAGGAATAGAGGTAATATGTTTAACACGTATTTTTTAACATATCATTTTTTTCATGGTTAAATTTTACATATGTTTTACATATTTACATGAAATTCACACAACTTAAATTAATAACTATTATTTATTCCCTTCGTTCTAACCTAAACAAATTATTATAGTTTTTTTTAACTTAAATACACTTTTATCACTCTAATCTTTAATTATTTTATTTAAAAATTAGTTGTTTGATTTCTGAATTTTAATCACTTAGAATTTGGTTGGTTCTCCTTAAGTTTTAAAGATGTGACAATGATGATTTGAATAAAATAAATATTTTGAATGAGATGATTAAGCTTATTTATTAAATATTATTTTTTTAATTTTTTTTATAGAGTAAATTATTAAGGTTTTTAGAATTAATTAATTAAAATTCTTAAAAGTACTATTTTGAACCCATAATCCATTAAGCTTTAACATGACCCAAACACCCATATTGGCAATTAGTTAGGCATAAAATAGTTATATAAAAACTTGTCACATTATATCAAACGACGTGGGACTTGTTTAAAAGCATTTTTAAATAATCACATTCCAACAACAACAAAACTTGTCTTTCTCTCAACTCTGCAACTCTTTATTTTCAACTCCACTTTTCTACCTTGTTCACTTCATTATGCAACTCCTCTTGAATAAACATACACTGAAGGAATCTGTGTACATGCTGCATAAATCTCCACATCCTTTTTTTATCCATGATTTTTACTAATGAACTTACACGACACACCTTGATTTTTACTAATGAATCTCCATAAAATTTGTCTTGTTCAAAATATATTTATAAAAAAAATAATTAATTAAATAAATTTATTAATTAAAACTTTTTATTAAATTAAAAAAATTATAATAAAAAAATCATCTTAGTCATTATTTAATTAAAAAAAATTTAATACTAAAATTAAATATTATAAAATAAAATATTTATTAAATATGACGTGGATGTACAATACATGTGTCATGTCATTAATGAAATTGTTAAATAGAAAGGGACTTATAAAAATTTCAAAAAATATAAATTTTAGTGTAAAAAACTGGTTTTTAAAATAGGAGAATTAAATATTAAAAAATTTAAAATAGAAAATCCAAAACTGCATTTAAATCTAATATTTTAAATTTAATAACTTAATGAAATTTCACTTGATTGGAATGTCTCGGATACTAATATAACTATCCATTGAATTGATTTACCGAACAATAATAATTTTTTTAAAGAGAATTTGCATGCTCAAATTCACAATAAATAAATAAAAAAACAAACATATATTATTTGTTGCTTTTTTTATAAACAAATATTAATTAATGGGAGTAGAAGGGTACTCAATCCTATATAGGCAATAATTAGAAAAATGAAGTATTTGAAAAATATGAGAGCAATTGTGTAGGGGTGAAAAAATTATGTTAGGATTGAATTTTTTTTATTAATACAAATGGTGATTGTTAGTAGCAATATACCATTTATTTTTATTTTGTATTTTTTTATGTGATCAGATTTATCTTGTGATATATATTTTATGTTGAGAGAGTATGTACATACTTTTATAGAGAGGATTTAGATCCTTAATTAGACTGACTTATTCAAACATAAATTTTATGAATTTACTCTTTAGAAATATCACTTTCAAATTGATATTTAAATTTTATATAAATCAAAAGATAAATTATAATAAATTAAACTATCAATATTATAACCAGAACCGTATTTAAGGGTGTGCAAGACGACCTACAACATAGGACCTCACATTTTTTTTATAATTAAACTATGACAAAAAAAATCTCCCATACACATTTAAAAATAGTTTCTTATAAAATAATTTATAATTCAAATAAAGTTAATTTTAAATTTTTACACAAGATCTATCAAAAATTTGAAACAACTCTAATTATAACACTAGAATAATGTCATTCGATTTAATACTTTTTTTTTACTTGATCTTTTTATGTTATGAATGCTAACTTTATAGTAAGATTTGAAAATCAATAATAGAATGGTTGGGATTCTTAGTGTTAAGTGAATGAATTGAGCGATCATGCACATCAATTTAATGAGTTGAGCTTGAAATGTCATAAAATGAAAGCTCAATTTAATTTAATATGGCATGCGTGAGTTTGGCCAATTTGAAAGATAAAGAATACCATTACATTTTAAGATAAAGTTTGTAATTACGGTGTTTTGATAGAAAATATCAAGTCAACATTGTGGTAGTGTTGTGACTCAAATGCAATGATTAAAATTTTGTCAGGTCATCGACATTGCATTTTGATGATTAGCCTAAACATATTGTGTGCTTAGTGTTGTGCTAATACATCTTTTTTCAAAAAGAAATCATCATAATAAAGACATGTCAAAAAAAAAAAGGGGACCAACAAAAATTCAAAGCTTATAGAAAAAAATAGAGATAAAATAAATCTAGTTTTAGAAAAGGAGTGATTGAGAGTTAATTTAGATTGAGGTACAAAGAATTAAAAGTGCATTCAAACTTTTTATAGAATACACATTGTAATTGTACATGTAAGTACAACCTTCCTCGTGTTATGGAGTACAATACAACTTTTTTAGATTATTATTATGTAGAAAATGATTCATTTCATAAGCATGAAGTTGGCATATTATAGGCTTGATCCATAGGTTAAGCAGTTGCTAGAGAACCTATTCTACTAGCCACCTGCTCGACTAAATCATGGGAATAGAGGAACTAATCTTCACCTTAATTGGAACATAATTTCCTTTTTGGACGGGTGGTGGTTACCTTTACTAGCACACGTGTTAACACGTCTTTATGCACTTGGGATGAAAAAAATGATCCATACTCAAGGTGGGATGGACTAAACACATGATGCCACCCTTTCGTGCCTAATCTCCTATCATGTGACTTGAGCCAGACATGTTATAGACCGACCTCTTTAAGATTAAGAAAAGACTATTTCAATTCACATTTCTTCAAGGATGAGGTCATGAGGGTCAATATGATCAAGCTAATAGATGTCAACTCATAATCCCTCAATCACAAAGTCTAAGTGGGAGTATGATTTAAGCAAAGTAATTATATTCCCTTGCCAATAAGGCCCTCGTGGATGAGTCTCTCAAGAAAAGCTTAAGAAGAGTAAGTCCTTCAAGCGAGGCTTAGAAATATGAGTCCCTCAAGAGAGGCCTGGAAGGGCAAGTCTCCCAGATGAGGCCTTGAAGGACGAGTCCCCCAAGTGAGGTTTATAAGGGGGAGAACTTCGTGTGTGAGTTCCTTAAGAAGGTCATGGAAGACGTGTGACGGTGGGATTGCCAGGCGCACATGATTAATTTAATTCTACATACTGATGGAACCACCTCGGGTAGTTTTAGACAATGTAGGCCATTGACATGTTTACATAATTACAACATGGGTCATTTATGTTTTGCTCGTACATCAATAAGAGCAACTTTATTGTCTGGTGATGATGGACTATATGGTCTAAGAAAGACAATATATTGTTGTGTCATGGTTTTTTCTCTTCCATTTCCATCTTTCTGAGTTTATCTGTTGCACTTCCTTTGAAAATTTCCTTGTTAAGATCATCTTCATCTTCATCATCCATAATCATTTCAGGTATTCAACCCCTTCTTTCCATAAATGAGAATTCCATCAATCTCGATAGGGTTCCGCTCCATGGAACCACTTCAGCTCCTTTAGAGAGTAAGGTGACACCCTTTTTAGAATGAGGACTTTGACGTCGACAATTTCGTACACGAGCACATCAATTTCCCACACCATTTACTTAATGACTAGAAAAAGGTGAGGCATCTAGGAGCCAAGAAAATGGCTAACTTGGTGAAGGCTCATGTTCTAAGGGGTATCTTTCTATAGTGAATAGCTTTTGACGCCTACAATACTAGAAAATATATCTTCGATGACACAATATTACAATGATAATTTTGCCACCGTAGTCATATCACATTTTTTACGCGCATTTTTTTTATTTTATTAAAAAACTTTTCATCACGGTTCCTAAAAATAACGGTGGCCATAGAACTCGGATGACAAGCTTCGAATCGTTGCATCAACATCTTTCCATTTTTTCAATAAAAATAAGTGTGTGACCCTTCACATTTTTGTTATTTAAAAATTAAAAGTATAACAACTACGATTGTTTCATTCAACCATGGTTATATGTTCCATATTTCACTACAGTTGAAGCTTACAACCGTTATGAAATTATTTCCCACAAAATTAAAACATAAAAGGTACTTTATTTTGTTCATAACACACAAGGGTGCCCTAGCGAATAAGATGACATCGATATCAAAATCTCCACCATCTTCATTCATTTCTAAACGAATATCATTTATGGAAACGAAATCCTCATCCTCTTCGAAGTACGTTACATTACCATTTTCTCTCTCTCTCTCTCTCTCTCTCTCTCTCTCTCTCTCTCTCTCTCTCTCTCTCTCTCTCTCTCTCTGATGTTATGAATATTTATATTCTTCGCTAGGATTATTTACCATTCTCTTTCTCTCACGCTTCTGAATGTTTATGTTCTTCGATGGGGTTACTAGTTTACTTTTTTAATAGATAAATGATATTAGGATGTTGTGCATATTGACATTGTCATGTGTATTGTTCATGTTGTCATGTTCGTGTTTTATTCAAATTTGTGAATATGATTTAGGTTTTGGTGTTGGATGCGCATATGCCTATAATCATATTAGGATGTTTTGTGTGTAGTATTAGTGTGTCATTC